CATTTCAGCTCCTGTTGTCTCTGTAGGTCTTCTGATGGCCTTTGTGGTCGTTTTGCAGCTCCTTGTGGAGCCTTTTTTTTGTCTCATTTAGTTCATTTGCAGTTCTTTGTGGTTGTTTTAAGCCTTTTTTACCTCTTCTTAGCTATTTTCCATCTTTCTGTCACAGTTTTGGAGACTGTGTTGGGTTCATTTTGTCTCTTCTTTGTGGTCATTTTCAGTGTCCATGTGTTCATTTGCAGCGTTTTTTCGAGGTTCCAGGTGACTGTAGTTATACCCGTGGGTAGATTTTTTTTCCAGGAAACAAATGAGAGCATTTGGCATCGATATGAAAACACACGCTGAACCTGACGGGACTTGACCGAGTGACAGTAAAGTGCTCCGTATTCCACAATCATCGATTTAACAGCAGAAAGTACTTTTTGTGCAGTTTGCATCTAATTTGAGTCTTTTTTTTTTTTGTCTAAAGCTAGTTGAGCAGTTCAGGTTTCACAGGGAGACTCTACTGAGGAGGCTCATCGTCTTCACTGGACTGATCAACTTGTCCTCCAGGACTTTTTCTGAACCAACCAGAAACCCGTTTAGCTCTTGTTTCTGCAGCGGTGGATACCTGCTGAGGTCACAGATGAGAAGCCTTCAGATGAAGAGTTAAACATCTCAGATCTTCCTGCTCCCGTGTCTCGCGGTGTAAATGGGTTTTTTATTCAATTGCTGCGGCTCCATCGACTCTCGATTTGTTTTATAAGTTGGGATGTTTGTACGATCCGGTTTGGGATTCGCTGCTGATTGCTGCTCGTGTCGTCCCGCCACATTATCTCCATTCATCCTCTGCTGCTCTGCATCCCCCGAAAAAAGCCTCCTCGGGATCCCACAATGAATCCCTGTTCAGTCGGAGGTAATGGATTTGTGCCCTGCTTCCTCTTCGGGAGGCAAGGAACCCAACATGGCAGCCAGCGAGGGCCACGTCCCTCAGCGCTCTGTCACCCTTCAGATATCATCCCCACCCCAGTCGCAGCCTGAAAGCCCTTTTTCTCCTCCGCCGCTGCTTGAAACGGGGCTCCGACAAATTTGATTTAGCAGCTCGCGGTCGCCTTATTCCCGGGGAAAGAAAACAAATATTGTTATAATGGTAATAACATCTATTTGGAGCGCCGGCGACAAACGGCAGCGGGGCCCTTTGAAGGAGACCCCTCTGCGCCGCCGTATAGCTGCCTTATTCTTATTCATGAAAGCCGCGGTTATGCATATTAGCGCAAACTAGCTATTCTACTCACCGGCATTTGGTGTGTCAATCATCCTTACAGAATACAAGAGCCAACGGTGACAAAAGCGGAGTGGGCAAGATCGGCTGACAAATTGTCCCCAAAGTCAAATTTGACAGGCTTTTATGATTAATGGGCTTGATTATGGAGAAGTATCTCCCTGAACTCATTTCCGGGTGTTTCTGTTGGACGGAGAGGAGGAGGAGGAGGAGGAGGAGGAGGAAGGCAGATTGACTGTGGAGGTGAATGAGGGAGAGAAAAGAGAGAAGCTGGATTGAATTAGCGGCGGTGAAAAGGCAGAGCGAGGAGGAGAGGTGGAGTGTGAGGTCTCGCACTTAATAAACAGCAGATAAGAGAGAGAGCCGCTCGCTCGCCCTCGCCGTTAGCGCTCGCTGCTAATAGGAAGCAGCAGAGTCGAGCATCACAGAGTAGCTGCTGACAGACCAACAGGACGGAGGAAACGCACGACCTGCCCCGACATCCGTCTGCTCTTATTCTCAGAGACGCACTGAAGGCGTCGTGATGCGCTGCAAACACACAACACAACCACAGAGACACACAAGACTGATCAACATGACGTAAAGCAAAGAGACACAACACAACCACAGAAAGATGCAAGGAGAGCTCAGAAAAATGTACAACTGCTGCAACAAATGTGAAATAAAAGAGGTGATGAAAGTCCACTCCAAAAAACTGCAAATAAACACAAAACAACCACAAAGAGGCAGAAAAGGAGGGAAAACAACAAAAACAAAAAGAGGTAAAACAAGGATCAGGTGAAACCACAACATGAACAGAAACAAAGAGGAAAGAGAGATAAAAAAAAAAAAACACTACAAGACGTAAAATAACCTCAAAGAGACAGAAAAGAAGGAAACACAAGAAAAAAGGAGAAACAAAAGTATAACCACACTGAAAACTGGCAAAACGACAAGAAATCGGGTAAAAACAACAATACAAAAGCGTAAACAAGAAGATGAGGAGTAAAACCAGAGGAAAAACAAGTAAAGCAACAAGGAGAATAGAGTTAAAACAAGAACAAAAATATATAAAACAACAAGAAAACGAAAAAAAACTACAAAAACAGGAAAATCAACAGCAAAATAAGCTTAAAAAATAAATAAAAACAGGAGAATCAATGAGAAAAAAACAGAAATCAACAGCAAAACCTTAAAATAACAAAGAAAATAGAAACAGACACATAAAACATGTCTGAGACCCTAACCCAACCCTAGAAAACTGCTGCAGAAAGACGACAAAACAGCAAAAACAACACCTCTTGAAAGATGCAGCGACACTACAAAGGGACACGAAACAAACCCTGAACAAGCCTTCAAATGTGTCTGTTGTGCGTCTCCTCTGTTGTGTTGCATCTGTTGAACTCGGACCTGTCTGTGTGTCTGTTTGTCAGTTTGTCGCTCTAACTCGTCTCTCTGTCGCCCCGCAGCCTTGAACGAGCCGACCATCGACTACGGCTTCCAGCGGCTACAGAAGGTCATCCCTCGTCACCCCGGAGACCCAGAGAGGTTACCTAAGGTCAGTGTGAGGTCGCAGGTCGCATGTCACAACCAGGAAGTGTTCTGTGCAGCAGGTACGACCCAGAATGCACCTGTGAGTCAGATCTGCTGCTGACAGCGGATTAATCACATCAGAGGACGCCGTAAATCTGCTGCTCGGCGCTGCTCGCTGCCAGATTGTTCCCAGAAGTTGACGCTGCAAGCAGCTGTTTGTCAGAGCGAGGAGACTTTGCTTTTCAGTAAATACTAAAGTTTCCCCCAAACTTAAAATCTGACCTAAAAAGAGATAAAACAACAACAGAAAGACTTCAGGAGGATGTGAAACTCACGCAAAAAAAAGGTCAAATAAGCACAAAGTAGAACAAAACGACCACAAAGACGCACACATACGACTCGTAAAAGATCAACAACTACAACAGAAAGGTGCAAAACAGCCACAAAGACACAACAAACTCCTATAGCAGGAAAAAAGCCGACATGAACGTCTTCATTTAACGTCCCTGCAGCTGAACTTTTGCTTCTTCGCGGCAGTAAAAGTAAAAGTTTGATGAGACGGTGAGGAGAAGCCGCTGCTGCTTCCAGACGAAGCGAGGATGCTGCTGCTGCTGCCTCCACACATTGGTATGCACACGCTCGGCCGTCAGGTGTCCTGTTAGCATGAAGACATTATTTTCTGGCTGTGAGGAGCTAACTGAGGCAGATTCTGTGAGGCAGCGAGCGGCGGCGGCCGGCGCTGAGTGTCAGATGGGCTCTGACACTCCAAAGCAGCTGCCAAATTGAAACCATTTATCAAAATCTGACATCGGAGATCCAGTCACCAAAAAAGCAGTTTATTTGTAAATTGATACTAATAGCGAGCGCACATTGTCTGGACCCTTTGATGGCCTGATTTGCAGCCAGAGCGGAACATCAAACAGCCTCCTACCGCCGCACACCCGCCGCTTAAATATTTATTTATTCACAAGAAAACTCGATAAGGCCACAGATATTTTCCCTCCCGGACGTTTTGGGCGGAGACGAATCAGGGCGAGGCCACAGCCGAGCAGCAACGGGTTAACTCGGGTTGTCACTTCTCTTTTGTTTTCACCTGCAGCTGAGACGTGTGCAGAGCCGAGGTTATGTCCTGGACAGGAGGCAGATTGATTCAGTAGCTGGAGGATTATAGCTGTAGCAGGGAGAGTGGAAATGGAAACCAGGAGAATAAACACCAGGCTGGATTTATCCCAAACATAGGGAACCGCTCTGCTTAGCCTAGCTTAGCACAAAGACTGAGATCAGGACGAAACTGTTAGCGTAGCTCCATCACAGTTCGTCAGGTGTTACTCACCTCTGACCTGTAAACACACAAAGTTAACTGGATGTATGGGCTGAGATTTACAGATTTATTGGATATAAGGTTAGCGTAGCTTAGCACAAAGACTGGAAACAGGACGAAACTGTTAGCATAGCTCCATCACAGTTAGTTTTACTGACGTCACCTCTGACCTGTAAACACACAAAGCTAACTGGATGTATGGGCTGTGATTTACAGATTTATTGGATATAATAGCTTAGCTATTAGCTTAGCTTAGCACGAAGACTGGAAGTAGGGAGAATCTGTTAGCATAGCTTAATCACAGTTAGTCAAAGCTAGCTGCATGTAGAGGCTAAGATTTACAGGATAGTCTGGATTGAGTTAAGCTTAGCTGAAATCAGGAGGAAAACTGTTAGCGTAGCTCCATCAGAGTAGAAAAGGAGACAAAGTTAAAATGATCGAAAGAAAAAAATTGCACCTGCAGTAATAATCATGAACACAAAATGATCACAAAGACACAAAACGAGTCTGAAGAGACAAATTGGTTCAAAAGAGAAACAAAAGGACCACAAACAAGACACAAATTAACACCAAAGACTCACAAAACAACTGCAAACAGACAAGACGAGCACCGAGAGCCACAAACAGCTAGAAAGACACCAAACATGTCATCAGAAGTCCTCCAACAGATTGATGCTAACTGTTAATTTCTGTTTGTTTAAGATCAGGAAGTAGAAAATGACTTAATTTCATGAAGTTTTCTCAACTTGAATTTAGTTTTAAATGAGTTTAAATTACACACAACATTGCTATGTCCACCGTCAACATAAAGTTTATCAGAAAAGTAGAGTTTTAATCTTGCTTCTACTGAGGTGGTGAGCACAGGTCCTGGAATGATGTCTGAGAATAAACTATAAGTTAATTTACTAGCTGTTCAAGATGACATCCATTAGGTAGACAACACGTAGAAAATAAAATGGAAACGTCTGTTGAAACAACATAGTCTTTTTTTTTTTATTCAACTTTTAAAACGTGCATTTACGCTGCGAACAGTAAGTAGTAAGTAATTAAACAAGTAAAAATAATAATAATTGAACAAACTGCCAACATAAACGCTTCCTGTTATCACCTGGAATGACTGCATTTTAAAAATTTAAATAAACTGCTGACATAAAAACTGTCATTAAGTTCATAACACTTCAAAATACAGTTAAAGTAACGAGTTGGAGCAAATAGTGTTTGAAGCGTAATGAAGCTGATTCAGGCTGATTCCTCTGACTTCATAGAGCTCAACGTGATTTTATTAGAAGTCGTCCAAGAGATCAATCAAACCTGATTTCATCAAGTTACCTCAACTTGAGTTTAGTTTGGAGTCATCTGATGCAGAAGTTTAAATCACCAGAAGTATTCAGACTTCACCTCCATCAGGAGTTTGATTTTGTGCCTTTAGCTAAGTGCTGCTAACTGCTCCGCTGGATGCTGTTTGAAAGCAGGAGAACCGAGCCTCCTGCTGCAGGTGAAACGTGTTTGTTGCACCTCCTCGCTCTGATCGTTGACCCCAATCCCGGACTGGAGGGGCGTCCGTGCGTCCGTCCGTTCGGGGATTATTAATTCCAGCCCACTTCATGAATGAGGAGATTTCCGGCGTTCATTGAGAATAATGAGCGATGTTCGGCTCGCCAGCTGAATTTCAATCGGCCTCCTCTGAATGGAATTAACCCCGCTGCATGTCCCGCGTCATTAGAATACCTCCGCGCCTGATAATCGCTAATCCGGAGATCCGGCCGGCTCTTCCTCCTCCTCCTCCTCCTCCTCCTCCTCCTCCTCCTGCAGGTCCATCCATATTTTATAGAGATCAGCGGGGCGGCGGCTGAATCTGTAGCTGTGCTCAGGGTGATTTATCATTGTTAAGGCCGCTGTCTGATGGCTTCTCCTCCAGGGTCACGCTGATCCCTGCTCGCCTTCGCACCTCCTCAACCACGGAGCCGGCCCCCCGTAATTAAGCCCCTAGAAACCAGAGGAGGGAAATAGAAAAGAGAGAGCGAGGGGGGAGGGAAGGCAGGAATATGTCAAGAGATGGACAGAAGAAGGGCAGCGAGGCCACAAGGGCTCAGCCTGCGAGAGCTTTCTGTGAAGTTCCTCGTGAAAGCATCTTCATATGTCACAGGAAGCTTTACGTCCATCTGTGGAGGGCTTTTGTGGTGAAAACTGCTTCATAACGCTGAAACATCACATGTTTGGCTGTAATGTGTTCACACATCTGCCATGAAAACATCAGAAAACTGTAAGACATTCCCAGGTTTGTCCATCCCACAGCCCGATGACTCACTCTGTCTGTTTGTATCCAGAAATAAATGAAAAACAACCACGATGACGACGTGTAAACAATAAACAATCACAATGTGCAAAACAACAACAAAGGGACACAATATGATGACAAACGATGCAAAAAGACACAAAACTACCACCACAAGTAAAAAAAAAACAGCCTCAAAGACACAACAAATGACTGACGAGACGAAAAAGGAACGCGATCACACAAAAGACGAAAACACGAACAGAACAGAGACAAGAAATGACAACAAAGATTAAAAAGAAAATACCACAAAACATGGACAAAAAATACAAAATGATAAAAACACCTAAAAACAACCACAAAAAAGATGAAAAATGACACAAGACGACAACAAAGCAGCAAATTCTTCATCTGACAGGTTGGAAGCTTTAAAATCGGCCTGAACTGCAAATCAGTCACTAAAATATTTAACAGGTATTTTTAAAAAATCAACTAAATGTCATTTTCTTTTTCTGTCAGATCGTATTTACACGTACTGAACTTGTAGAAGGCGAATATTTTTTTATATATTTGATTTGTATT